AAGTCTAGAAAATGTAATAAAAGGACATGTTTCCTACCGTATGAAGAACGTAATCTAATCAGACTACTTCAGCCATTCAACGATATCTTCCTATATCGAGCAGTAATGATTGTATCCAATCTCTGCTATGCCTCTTAGCTTCCAACTCTACCTTCTTCAATAAGCAGTGATTATCTGTGCCGTGGTGTATGATACTAATCTACTGTTTGTATACAGTCAGTGGTGTGGTGTGGTGTGGTGTGGTGTGTCCACAAAACTCTAGCCAGCATTTTGGTAGCTAGCCCCCTAGCCAAATTTGATCTAGAGGGTCAGTTGACTGTTAAGAATGGTGTAAATTATGGAGGTGTATCTATTAAGGTAGATGCCTTAAAAGGGCCTACTACCCCCCACACTCAAAAAGACGCATGGCAGCTCCACGAGAGAACTTCCTTGCAGAAATAAGGAGCAGGTAACAAATGTAGATTTAGTACAACACGACTCAGTCCTAAATTCACTCTCATAGTTCACACGGTTGATGGCCTGTTCAATAAAATAACACGAATAAGAAGATCCGAGAAAGTGAAATATGCAAACATGGACTGTAAAAGAACAAAAGGCCTCCAATTAAGGTCAAATTTGAGAGATTAAAATACCATCTGGAGCATAGAAAAATGAATTGATCAAAAAGTAGTGGACCGGAAGAAAAGCAGGTAACATTAGGGATGAGAAGTAATAGCCTTTATTTCATTGATCCGTTTAGGGTCTGCATCTGCATAGCTAAATGTAACAGGATGCCAATTATTCTCTATCTTGGTAGCTGACTGGTTCCACAAGGTATAGGTCAGTGTTCTTTTCTCAAGTTCACTCATCCGACAAGAAAAAATACAAGAAACTAGAAAGGGTAGATAAATTAGACTTCATGGTCTCAGCCACACAAAATCAACCCAAGAAGAATGAGGGGAGAGATTAACTATTGATACTTACCGCAAACAATGTCAGCAGGCAATGTTCATCTGGGATACAATTGTGCTGCTTTTGAATCTTTTATCTATCAGGCTACTGTTTCCAAAATGGTGGCATCTCATTATAGGGCAGTGTGAAGTCCATACACTAGAAAATATAATAAGACACCTGGATTATGCAAACAAAGGAAGACTGCTTTCTGTACTAGAAATCATGGCTTGGAACAATTACCACATTCAGCTCTCTTTTCCTAACATCCAGAGGTGGGCGTCGCTGCAACAAGAGAGGAAAATTTAATTATCAGATGAGTTCCACAGTTATGAATTACTTAAATAGATACAAGACCGGAATCCTTTCAAATTTTGATAAGAGGCCCCGTTTTAAGGAAATTAATGTGGAGGCACCATTTGATAATGTTGGCACAACTTTTATATGTTTAGTTTGACTGTTATTTGTTTGATAATTATTCACAAAGCACTACAATCAGGATTAGTTTAATTTCACTACAATAGCATATTAATGAGATATGGTCAATACAAAAAGCAGCCTGTTCCATGATCCTTCCTTCAGAAATGAAAATTGACAGATATTAGCATCTAATATTTAGTGGAACCAACGACAGAACGGTTCATTGTGTACCTTGCATAGGGCCTGTTTGGTACAACTTATGGGAAGGATTTTTTTGACTTCAAAAGCACAAGTTGTACCAAACATTATAGCTTGTAAAAAATGCTATTACTTCTCAGAAACTGGTCTCCTCCCCACTCTTTTGCAAATATCAAAAGCATCGAAATAGTGTTTCCACGAGAACTTTTCATTTGGATTTTAATGAAATTAGTATAGTATTCCTATTTTATTCTCACACTTCCTTCTATTTACAAAGAGCCCACCCACTATATATAGGGTTCCATTTACAACTTTCTCCATTTTTTTATTTCTCAAGCAGCCCAAAATCTTGCGTTTCTTCTCCCCATCTTCTTACCCATCTTCTTCCTAAGCAAACTAGAAAATCCCCACTGTCTAGTCACCGGCCTTCTTTCTCCCTAACTGCTTCAAAGCAGAAAAGCACAACTCAGCCAACAAAAAGGCCAAAATCCCATTTCTCCTTATTCTTCTATGTGTCTCCTTCCTTTTCTCTGATTTTTTTAATCCTTTTTTTGGTGTTTCTGCTACTAATTTGGTGGTGATGAATGATGATTGTTGGTTAGTAGTGTGAGTTGGTGAGAGAGTTAACCGAAAATCCCTTCTCATTCCCTGTCTTCTTCTAGATCTGGACTGTGTGACGACCGTCGACGACCGCCTAGACCATTGCGAAAATCCCCGCCTTCTCCTCAAAAATCACTAATTGTTGTTACTTACCGTGAGAAAACCGCGAGGAGCTTGAGGATTTGGATACATTTCCAAGTAAGCTGCCCTTCCTCCCCTCCCCTTTATTTTCTTCGATTTTTCCCACCCAAAATCCCTAATCTTCCCCCCTAATTTTTCCAGTCTTGATTGGTTCTATAGCGGACCCATTGTCACCGAGATCTACAAAACCATTACCAGTAAGGTCCCGTTGCTCCCCTTTCTTTTCTTTTTGATTGGAGATTTTTTGAAGATTTTTGATTGATTATTACTGTTTCTTCTTCTACTTCCTCATGTCAAAGCTTTGTAGTTTGTTGTGTCCTATACTCTGCCATTGTTTTTTCATTTTTCTTCTATTTTTCCTCATTTTTCTTTTGTTTTTAACTTGGTTCTATTTTTGGATAGTAAGCTTCATGGGTTTGTGGCAAAGAATTGGTAAATCGTGATGCTTGTGTGCTCTGCCTCCTGTTCGCAATAACTTTTTCTTCTCTATTGAAATAATTTTTGTTGTGAAGAAAGCTGAGGAAAGGTGGAGAAGAGTAGACTAGAATACTGTTTTTTGGTCATTGCTGAATTAGTCAAATCAATTCTAGTGCTACTGGATTATCCTCTTCTTCTTCTTATTTTCTTTTTTAAAGTAATTTAATTCACATTGATTAGAGGAGAATCTATATTTTATTTCTTACATTCTCCCTGATTTTGCTTAGAAGAATGCAGTCTCCAACTATGGTCACTTGTTGTGGTGTGTGGCATAAGATGTTTTTTGGTGCCTAATTATGTCAATTGCAGTAGTGCTCTGTTTTCTGATATTTATGTTCTGGAATCCTGTTAAGTTGTATTTAAACTTAGTAATTAGCATGAATTTGAAGGTTGTTATTCAGATAACTTTTTCTGTTATGATTATCAAAAAGTATTCAACCATGCTCATGCTTGTCTTAAAAATGTGATTGAACCTATTGCGTGTTAAAAAAATAAGTTTGAATATTGTCCGACATGCAACTATTGCACTTCATAATTATATTAAGTGATATGCAATCAAGGATAAAGAATTTGATAGTTGTGATCCTAACCTAAATTATATATGCCTGCAATGCCTTGGGAAGAGAGCATGAATCAAGGAATTTCTTAAAATAATTTTGTTCGTATAATGGAGGATTGTGACCTAATTTCACTTCAAGATTTCATAGCTCTATCATTAATGGAAAATCAGTCAAGATAATTATTTGGCATAAGTTTTAATTTTAATTGTCTTATTTATGTGGTTTAAATGTAGTATATTTTGTTTTTTTATTAAAATATAAACATTTATCTAGTATTTATGTTTTAAAATATGAATAATTAATTTTTAATTATCAACTTTAAACTAATTATAAAAATAAAATTATATAAAAATATAAAAAAAATTAGAGTGGGAGGCGTAATTAAAGTAAAAATATTTATTTCAATTATTTTAGCATTACATTGGATTAAAAGATCTTTTATAAAAAATTTTACAAAACAATTTTTCGCCTACAAGTATTTTTATAAAAAATTTTACCAAACACTTTCAATTTCTTAAAAATAGCATTTCTATTATAAATTTTTTCTAACAAAACTTTTATGAAAAGTTCTAATCACACCAAAAAGGCTCCTAATTTCTTAAAAACTGGAAAAATGATCTCATCATTTATAACAACTCCAGCACGGCTTCTTACCAAGGAGATCCACCGCAAATGTAAATAAGTTCTAACCTGAGCTTAATTTTTTGTATTGGGTGGTAATAAAGACAAACAAAACTCATGACAAATAGACGGGTACATCTCTATCTTCAACTATTATTAGAAGGAAAGAGAGGCAAAGATGGAAATAATCAATTCCCATTACTTATTAAATCC